GTGACAGTGACAGTGACAGTGACAGTGACAGACAGTGACAGACAGTGTCAGACAGTGACAGACAGTGTCAGACAGTGACAGTGACAGTGACAGACAGTGTCAGACAGTGACAGACAGTGACAGTGACAGTGACAGACAGTGACAGTGACAGTGACAGTGACAGTGACAGACAGTGACAGACAGTGTCAGACAGTGACAGACAGTGTCAGACAGTGACAGTGACAGTGACAGACAGTGTCAGACAGTGACAGACAGTGACAGTGACAGTGACAGACAGTGACAGTGACAGTGACAGTGACAGTGACAGACAGTGACAGACAGTGACAGTGACAGACAGTGACAGAGACAGTGACAGAGACAGTGACAGACAGTGACAGACAGTGACAGACAGTGACAGTGACAGTGACAGACAGTGACAGACAGTGACAGTGACAGACAGTGACAGTGACAAACAGTGACAGTGACAGACAGTGACAGTGACAGACAGTGACAGTGACAGACAGTGACAGTGACAGACAGTGACAGACAGTGACAGTGAGAGACAGTGACAGTGACAGTGACAGTGACAGACAGTGACAGACAGTGACAGTGACAGACAGTGACAGAGACAGTGACAGAGACAGTGACAGACAGTGACAGACAGTGACAGACAGTGACAGTGACAGTGACAGACAGTGACAGACAGTGACAGTGACCGACAGTGACAGTGAAGATGAGGAAGAGACGAGAGTGGTGTACCCTGGGATAAGGGATCCCCGTGGTGGTGTTGAAGGCGGGCAGAAGGCGGTCCCCGACCTGCTTGGCCATGGTGAGCAACTCTCCCTGGTACCACAGCACCGACAGTTTCCTCCGCTTCAAGTAAGTGGCCGCCACGTGGCCGCCCAGCAACCCTCTGTGTGTGTGGGGGGGGGGGAGAAAATATGTCAGGTTACCCAGTCCTTAGTTTTAGTTTTTGTCACAGTTTTACAGCTCTTACAACACAAAGAGGCCATAGAAGTGCTCAAGTTGACAAGTATTGCTGCTGCTTGTTCACTTTCGTCTCACCAAAGACAAAACATAACAAACAAGAAATCACTCTCTTTCATCTTCTCACATTTTTGCCCACAGTTCCAAAAGTTGAACGACCAACACAATCTGAAAGTCCATTCATAAAGGTCACATCATAAAGGTCACATCATAAAGGTCACATCATAAAGGTCACATCATAAAGGTCACATCATAAAGGTCACAGCGAACCAAGGGTCCCACACGTTTTCTTAGATGTAAGCCTAAAGCGGGTCAAAAAAATAACAGTGGATTTACAACACACACATAAAACATTGAAAAGTTGACATATTTTCCTCAACACCACACTTTGACGTTCGCCAAAGAAACACGATTCAAGAGACAAGGTGAGTATTTTTCAAGACTCACGTGGAGACGTCTAGACATCCGGGGGATGAAATCTACAAGCTCACACTGAAATGTGGGGGCAGGGTGGTGTCGCTGTCTCAAAATGAGCAATTTGTAGGCAAAGTTTCTGTCAGTCATTTATTTGAGTCATCCTGTGTATGCATCCAAAGAGTGGTTTTTAATATAGGGCCCAAAGAGAAAAACTTTTTTATTACTAGATCCAGATTTTTCCTGTGCCAGACACACACCCTGAAGTTCTGATACAGATTTCCCGCACCAACACCGGACATTTCCACGAGATAGACACATACCCTGATACATGTATTCTGACGTAGGTATCCACGTGATAGACACATACCCTGATACATGTATTCTGACGTAGGTATCCACGTGATAGACACATACCCTGATACATGTATTCTGACGTAGGTTTCCATGTGACAGACACATACCCCAATATTCTGATGTTGGTTTCGAACACGGAGACCACTGTGTCTGCGTCGAAGCGAGCGTCGCGTAGAACGTTCCTCACCGCCTTCTCAAAGCCTTCCACATCTCCCAGCACCTGTGGACAGGAAGTCACACCTTGACCCACGCACGTCTGTTTGACAGTTGGTCTGTTTGTCCGTACGTCTGTTTGACAGTTAGTCTGATTGTCCGTACGTCTGTTTGACAGTTGGTCTGTTTGTCCGCACGTCTGTTTGACAGTTGGTCTGTTTGTCCGTATGTCTGTTTGACAGTTGGTCTGATTGTCCGCACGTCTGTTTGACAGTTGGTCTGATTGTCCGCACGTCGGTTTGACAGTTGGTCTGATTGTCCGTACGTCTGTTTGACAGTTGGTCTGTTTGTCCGTACGTCTGTTTGACAGTTGGTCTGTTTGTCCGTACGTCTGTTTGACAGTTGGTCTGTTTGTCCGTACGTCTGTTTGACAGTTGGTCTGTTTGTCAGCACGTCTGTTTGACAGTTGGTCTGTTTGTCCGTACGTCTGTTTGACAGTTGGTCTGATTGTCCGTACGTCTGTTTGACAGTTGGTCTGTTTGTCCGTACGTCTGTTTGACAGTTGGTCTGATTGTCCGTACGTCTGTTTGACAGTTAGTCTGTTTGTCCGTACGTCTGTTTGACAGTTGGTCTGTTTTTCCGTACGTCTGTTTGACAGTTGGTTTGTTTGACTGTACGTCTGTTTGACTGTACGTCTGTTTGACCGTACGTCTGTTTGACTGTACATCTGTTTGACTGTACGTCTGTTTGACTGTACGTCTGTTTGACTGTACGTCTGTTTGACTGTATATCTGTTTGACAGTTGCTCTGTTTGTCCGCATGTCTGTTTGACAGTTGGTCTGTTTGACTGCACGTCTGTTTGACAGTTGGTTTGTTTGACTGTACGTCTGTTTGACTGTACGTCTGTTTGACTGTACGTCTGTTTGACTGTACGTCTGTTTGATGTCAACATTCCACATTGTCCTCATTTCCTCCCACACATTTCTCTACAGACATCAACAGTACGGGGCCTACAGCAACGTTTCCTTTGCTTCCCCCTTATTCTGTTCTGATTATATCTTTACCATCATCCAGTGCCAGATGATTATATCTTTACCATCATCCAGTGCCAGATGATTATATCTTTACCATCATCCAGTGCCAGATGATTATATCTTTACCATCATCCAGTGCCAGATGATTATATCTTTATCATCATCCAGTGCCAGATGATTATATCTTTACCATCATCCAGTGCCAGATGATTGTATCTTTACCATCATCCAATGCCAGATGATTATATCTTTACCATCATCCAGTGCCAGATGATTATATCTTTACCATCATCCAGTGCCAGATCTGCGGCGATCATGGTACAGATAAAACACATGTACTCATGTACTCAGACAGAGACAATACAGATAAAACACATGTACTCATGTACTCAGAGACAGTACAGATAAAACACATGCACTCATGTACCCAGACAGAGACAGTACAGATAAAACACATGTACTCATGTACTCAGAGACAGTACAGATAAAACACATGCATTCATGTACTCAGACAGAGACAGTACAGATAAAACAAATGTACTCATGTACTCAGAGACAGTACAGATAAAACACATGCACTCATGTACCCAGACAGAGACAGTACAGATAAAACACATGTACTCATGTACTCAGACAGAGACAACACAGATAAAACACATGTACTCATGTACTCAGACAAAGACAGTACAGATAAAACACATGTACTCATGTACTCAGACAGAGACAGTACAAATAAAACACATGTACTCATGTACTCAGAGACAGTACATATAAAACAAATGTACTCATGTACTCAGAGACAGTACAGATAAAACACATATGTACTCATGTACTCAGAGACAGTACAGATAAAACACATGCACTCATGTACCCAGACAGAGACAGTACAGATAAAACACATGTACTCATGTACTCAGACAGAGACAGTACAGATAAACACATAGACAGAGACAGTACAGATAAACACATGTACTCATGTACTCATACAGAGACAGTACCGATAAAACACATGTACTCATGTACTCAGACAGAGACAGTACAGATAAAACACATGTACTCGGACAGAGACAGTACAGATAAACACATGTACTCATGTACTCATACAGAGACAGTACAGATAAAACACATGTACTCATATACTCAGACAGAGACAGTACAGATATAACACATGTACTCATGTACTCAGAGACAGTACAGATAAAACACATGTACTCATGTACTCAGACAGAGACAGTACAGATAAAACACATGTACTCATGTACTCAGACAGAGACAGTACAGATAAAACGCATGTACTCATGTACTCAGACAGAGACAGTACAGATAAACACATGTACTCATGTACTCAGACAGAGACAGTACAGATAAACACATGTACTCATGTACTCAGACAGAGACAGTACAGATAAACACATGTACTCATGTACTCAGACAGAGACAGTACAGATAAAACACATGTACTCATGTACTCAGACAGAGACAGTACAGATAAAACACATGTACTCATGTACTCAGACAGAGACAGTACAGATATAACACATGTACTCATGTACTCAGACAGAGACAGTACAGATATAACACATGTACTCATGTACTCAGACAGAGACAGAGTGGGACTCACCGCTAGAGTATCCAGGGTGTCTATCAAGGTCAGGGTGAAGCTGCGGAAAAAAAGCAGGATTGTGAACGTCTAAGTACACTCAAGGATTGTGAACGTCTAAGTACACTCAAGGATTGTGAACGTCTAAGTACACTCAAGGATTGTGAACGTCTAAGTACACTCAAGGATTGTGAACGTCTCAGTACACTCAAGGATTGTGAACGTCTAAGTACACTCAAGGATTGTGAATGTCTAAGTACACTCAAGGATTGTGAACGTCTAAGTACACTCAAGGATTGTGAACGTCTAAGTACACTCAAGGATTGTGAACGTCTAAGTACACTCAAGGAT